ATCTATCTATCTATCTATACTGTTTTAGTCATTTTCTATGTTGTTATCTGGTGCAGATATTGTGTTTGCAGTGCTTGTTGGGAAAATGCTTTTGTAATTAATCTGAACATTGAATCAAATGAAACTGTGGCATGTATCAGGAATTTTTAATTGCAGATGGCAGCTCATGTCTGTCAACACTTATGAAACACTGATTACACCAACGCTAGTAGCTGTGTGAGATGTTTGCATGCAACACAAATTTTCTTAAACCCTTGTATCTAATGTTTTACTTTTGTCTGTGATATTCTGCATTTGAGCTCACAAGGCTAATTATGTCATTACACTCCCCATTAGCCACTCAAATGTCAGTCTTTGTTTGAGTCCAACTGCGGCCCCAAACCCACCACATCGAGCCTGAAGAGAACTCGTAACTGAATGAGTGTTAACTGATTGGTTTGTTATGGACTTGGCCAGATGCTCCCTTTTAGCAGTATTCTGTTTTACATTTCAAACAGCATTGCACTTCAATTTTTCTTATTGCCCTATGACTATGTGCTTCACAGCTTGCTCTGAGTATTTCTGTTCTGGCTTCAGTTCTTAGCAGATTTTGATGTTATGACTCATTTACAGTGTTTTATGATTGCAGTTGCTTCCAATGTGCATAACTCTTAATGCAAAGAGCCAAAGTGACTTGCAAAATCTCTACCTCAAATACAAAGTAAGAAACACTAAATCCCATACTTGGTGCTCAGAATACAGATTAGCACAACTTTTAATGCTTGTTCAGGGTTCGACAGTAACCATGGCCCAATGGCTCGTGGCCACAAAGCAGTTACTCTGTGATATATTCCATGTAGGGGGCCATCAGGTTGTAGCCCCTTCACCAACGCAGTTTAACAAATAGCACTTCAGCAAACGTCCTGATTCCTTAATGCATTTTAGTTCAACATTATACAGCAGGGGTTTACTAAGCCTAAAACACGAAAAAAGAAACTACAATTGTAGAATGAGTGAAGGCAGGAGAATTTGACACATCTAAGCAGAGCTTTGACTCTCTGCCCGGGCCCAAAACTGCTGCCGTAGGTCAGGCTCGGACAGAATGAGATTTATTTTTTTATATATATT